TCAAAACCCTCAGAGCCAACTGTTCTGGGAGGTAGGCATCATTCCTTTGCCTTCAGCGTGCTCCCAGCTAGCAGAATCTAACTGCTGATTGAAACAGCACAGACATTTTCCCTTAATAATCGTCAACTGAAAAAAAAAACTGCACAATTTTAAAAGTTGAGACATGTTTTATTCGGTGGCCTTGCAGAGAACTGTAATCTGAGCTACAACCTCTCAGATAGCTCTGAGGGACTGTTCCAAAGAGATAAGGGAGGAGCCAGAGTGAATAGAAGTTTTTGCTGAGAAAACTGTAGTCGAACATCAAAAGATTACTGCTAGTCACACCAAAAAATGCAGACATCCCATACTAATGATTTTAGTGCCTTTCTACGTATGGGAAGATGCTAGTGTCTGAGCTCACTGAAATTATTCCTTTGATAGGCATCTTGACCATCTTGGGGCAGTATCCTGCTTTTCTCCTTGTCCTGAATCCCGTCAGGGGCACTGTCAGGGCTGCTCCAGTGGCTGATGGCCAAATGGCAGGCAATGGCTTACTGGAGTGTAGGCAACATTTTTCTGTCCATGTAATTATGCTTTGGAAAGCAGGTATCTTTCACTTCCCAAGGGACAAAACAGCCACCCCTGTATCTTGAAGCAGATCTTTAAAAGGGTTTTGAAAGCTTATTTATCATCAGGCTATTCTCAAATAGATGGAGAGAGGAATGGAATATTCATATTTACTCATCAGACATTTCTTGAGTCCCTATTGTACTAAGGCTCTTCATTCAAGGTACTAGTCCCGTAATATAAAGATGAGTAAGACACAGGATCTGCATTCAAAAGAGGAGAGAGAATTGTCACAATTCAGGGTAGAGCGTGAAGCGTGTTACAAACAAGATTGAATCCAAGGTGGGACTTCCAGATAGGATGATGTCGTTTCTGATGACATGGATCTGAACCTTGACTGATGAGGGGTAAGATTTTCAATGTACAGAAATAATCAGAGGGTGAGGGGCGGGGAGATGAAAGAACCCTCTAGACCGAGGCAGAGCACGAGTGAAGGCACAGGGATGGTTCTGCCTGGAGATGGAGTTACCCAGCCTGGCCTGGTACGTGTTACATGAGGAAGTTATGGACTGCGTGGCTGGAGAAGTGGGTTGGGTCTAACTCTCCCTTCAAATGCCAAGGAACTGAGTCACTATACTTTATGTGGAAGGCAGGGTGAACACAGAATTTATTTTCTGAACTGGAACAATTTTGGGATGAAAGTTGTCACTGTTCACATTTATGCCAGAACATCAGTTCTAACCTGGTACTGTCCTGGGCAAACTGGGACATCTGGTGACACTAGTGATTGGGAAACTCTGCAAGGAGGAGCTTTTGACTGGGAGGAGACTGCAGTGACTTCATTCCAGAGAACAGACACGCAGGGTGGCGGGGGTGGGGGCGGAGGGGCGGGCAGGCCGAGGACTCTTGTATTAGATCCCTAGGGCTGCCGCAAGAAAGCACCACAAACTGGGGGCTTAACATGATAGAAATACATCCTCTCCTGCTGCTGGAGCCTAGAAGTACAAAATCAAGGTGTCTGGAGGGCTGTCCGTGCTCTCTCTGAAGGCTGCAGGGGAGATCCTTCCCGGCCTCTTCCAGCTCTGGGTGTTGGCGGCAGTGCTGACAATACTTGGCTTGTGGGCCCGTCCGCAGCTGTGGTCTCTGCCTTCCTGGGATTCGCCCTCAGTGTCTTCACCTGCTCTTCCCTCTGCATGCTTGTCTGTGTGTCTCTTCTCCTTGTACAAAGACAACAATCATGCTGAATTAAGGGCCTGCCTGACTCCAGTATGACCTCATAACAACTTAACTACACCTACAAAGACCCCACTTTCAAATAAGGTCACATTCTGAGGTTCTGGGAAAGACATGAATCTTCAACCCCATACAAATACCAAACAGGGAATTTTGAATGAGTGGAGGATCTCTCGTGATCCTCAAAGACAGGAAGGCGGGAGGCAGCAGAACAGGCAATAGGAAGGTGAAGGAGATGTTGAGAGTGTGAAATCTTGCTTCCTTGGGGCCGCTTTCCCCCAGGGGTTCAAAGGGTCCTTTTAGCACTGAGGATGTACGTGAAATATCAGGACGAGGTTGGAAGGTTGCCCACTGCATCCTATCCTGCTTCCATCCAGTTTTCTCAAGTCTGAGCTCCTCTCTTTTCCTCTTTTGGAGGAAGGGAAGACATTTAATACTAGAAATCAAATCAGGCTTGAAATCAGGAGATGGCAGTTCAAGTCATGACTCAGCTACTTTTAACTTTGTTGCTCGGGCAAGTCATATGATTTCTGTTTCCTCCTCATAAAATAAGGATGTTGAGGATGATCAATAAGGGTCCTTCTGGCTCTGTCAGCTCTGACTTTAGGAGGACGAGGCAGAACTAGGCTCCTCTGGCCCAGTAAGAGGATACTTTCCACAGGATCCTTTGCCATCACCACTTTTTGGCAAGTGTCTCTGTCAGACAGCATTGGCTACAGCCAAGAAGTGTTGGAACTTAGCCAAACATGAACATTTTGATAGTGTATTTAGCCACTACATTAAAGTTGTTGCTGTATTATTAATATTGTTGTCACTATTATCTCAATTTAGTGGTTAAGAGCTCATATTTTGGAGTCAGAGAGACTTAAGTCTGACGTGCAGCTCTGTCCCATAGTAGCTGTGTGGCTTTGGGAAAGTTATTTACTACTTATACACAAGAAGCCGCAGTTTCCTCATCTGTAATGTGGGGATGATGATAATACTGACCTTACAAACAGATCATTGTTCAAATAAAGGAGATAATATATACAAAAGATAGTATGTACAAGATCGTATTCACCTGTCTTGCCTGTAAAACGTGCATTATGCAGTCAGTAATCATCATTGCGGAACAGGTACCAAGTTAAGCGGTTCTGTCAATCATCTCACGTAATCTTCACAACCATTGGATATAGTTAATATCAAAATATCAATATCCCCTCCCCCACCCCACTCCCCCCTTCAAAGAAACGGAGGTTACTACTGAGAAACTTGGTTAAGGTCACACAACTGTATGAATTGTCATTGCTGGGATGCCAGACCAGCCAGCTCTCCTGGACCCAGAAGCCCAGGTCTTGATCCTGTCTCCTGGAGGAGTCAGCTCAGCCCATTGGGCGCTCACCGGCCCTGTTACGCGGTCTCCAGCTACGTACTGGCCTTCTTTAGATAAGAGAAGGAGACGCCAGCACCCCTGATACTGCAGTCTAACCCCAAGTCTTCTCCTTTGGAAGGGGCTTAAAACAAGAGGCAGGGGTCGAGAAGCTTGCTTCTTGTCTAATTACCACTAACCTCTCTGACCATTCTGTTTCAGTCAACATTCACTGTGATCGGGTATCTGAGAATTGAGTGTCGTTGAAATCAGGGTAACAGTAATGGTCAGGGTTTAGTAATAAACTCAGGTAAGAACTGAAGGAGACAGTGGTCTGGTGAATCACATGTAACAAATGGCATCAGCCTTATAGACACTGTTCGGTCATAAAACAGATTGAATCACCTGACAATCCAATTTTTAAATTATGAATCTAGATTTTGTGTTTAGATGAGAATTGTATACCCAACATGTAAAGGAATTAAGATTGATTACTTGAACTTTTTCCTTAAGCAGCTTTATTGAGGTATAATTCAGATATAAATTCACCTTTGAACAACTTTAATAAGACTTTTTCCTTAGCCTTATTTGCTTCCTTTTAAAAAGGTCCATACTATTTAAGACTACAATTTTTAAAGCCAACAATAATTTTTAAGTTAGGTTTTAATGATACTTATCTTTAATCGCTTTTCATCAAGAGAGAAGTAAAAATTTTCCTGTTGCCACTCATTGAGAAAAATCCAACTTGCTGTTATTGCTATATGTTAGTAGCACGGTTCAGCCAGTTTCCAAAGAAATGAGTCAAGTTACCCAGCCTCAACTTTACATCACACTGCCTTGGAATTCGGCGGCACAAACAATAGTGAACTATTCTTGCATAAAACCCCACTAACAAGGACTAAATGGAAAAGCAGATGGCTTGAAACAAGGAGTAAGTTTTCTTTCAACAGGCATATTTTACGGTTAAGCTAGAGAAGGTGTGGGGAAAGGCCTGGGCGTGCGGGCTCCTCTGTCCCCGTCCCTCCCTCCCTCCCTCCCCATGGGGACCAGGCCGGGGTCACCGCGCCAGGTGAGCACCCCCGGGCCGCG